ACTTGGCTTACAATTCGCATGACTTCTAGAAGGACAGCATTTGTGAAGACCAGTTCGGGTTTGTCCTTCAGCATTACACTCCTGTTGGTTCCAACTATATCTTTGATCTCTGTAAAAACTTTTTCTTGAACGTCGGGGAATTTCGCCATGTAGAGAAACAGCCACAACAACGTTTTATGCGTTGTATCAACGCTAAATTAAAAACAGGAAATTATAATGTTTAACGCTTTCTACATCACTATCTTCTCGTAAAATCTTCTAAAAAAAGTACATGTATATAAATAAAATTATTCTAATATTTTACACAATAATACATAATTTGTAATTTAAATCAATTCGTCATTAACTTAATAAACAGAGATTAAAAACTTTTAAAGCTATTGAGTGATATGCAAAATCTCTTAAGATATCCTTATTATAGTGGCTGTTAATTTCAACTTAGATTTCTTCTATTACAAAAATCTCTCTTGAATGATTAAGTAAAACCGCTGCTGGCCATGTTCCATGGCACTTGTTCAGTTAAACTGGCACTGAAAAGCATTTATTCACAAAGCACTAAAGCATAAATACTGGACAACTTTGTTTTTGAAGAAAAAATGATAAAGCAGGTTTGTAAAATATAATAATATGGAAAACAATTCAACAAGGAAGGGCAGTATTCCTAAAACACAAGACAGCAGCACCTGACCACCGGCATGGAGTCGAGCAGGACCCCAAACAAAAACAGGAGCGGGTATATGGGCAAAACACAGACGGGTAGTTATTATAAATAATTCAAATCAATAGGAAATAATAGTAACCGACACGGATAACAAGGAAGACAATAAACTGATACAAACCCAGCTCCTTGTAAATCTGCAAGTGTAAGATTCAGTCTAGCTCTTGTTAACACGTATCTATCTTTATTTTCTTCATCGTCAGCGTCACTAGCAATAATTGCATCCGCTACATCTCTAATGTTTCCTGGAACAAATGTGTCATAATGTTGGTGTACTTGCTCTGTTACAAGATCGTCTGATCGTGCGGTATTCTTCCGAATCGCTTCAACCTTCCATGGCATGATATACTGTAGCCATGGTAACACGTCCAATGAACTCCCATTTCCAGACAACTTATCAAATTCTTCAAGAAATTCTATTATTGTTTTCACGTGCCTTTCAACTTCAACAGTTTTACCTCGTCCGTAAAGAAACTGGTAAATTATCTTAGTAACTAATGTTTGAACATCCAGTTCTATTGAACCGGCATTTCTATTGTATTTTTTTACCAAAATATCTACAAATACGCTAGTCTCACTTGTAATTTATTCTTCAATTACTTCGGATCGCTTGGATGTAAACATACGTAAAGCTTTAGAGGTCAACTTTCTTTGTTTAAGATAAACTGGTGAAAAATTACCAAAAGCGAGTCTATCTTCTTTGGTACGTTCGCTCAAGATTTCCATGGACAGAAAATGTGGTCTTCCGCTAAATGCGTCGTCAGGATGTTCGGCAGCCGCCTTCACTGCATCATAACCATTGACAACTACAGTGTTCCAGCTTCCAAGTCTGATAGAAAACACGTCACCAAAAGAATTCCACCATTTTAGGAACGTTTTCGGTGGGTATTTTCCAAACAGTGGAAGGTGTCCAACAATTGGAAACCCAACAGGCCCTTTTGGATAACTCTTTTCTTTATTTTGAAGAAGCCATTGTAAGAATAAAACTGTCATGAAAACAGTTAAAGCAAATCCCAAAACAAAAGTTATGTCCGACATAGTAATTACAAGTGTTCAGTGAAATTGTTTTGTAAAAGAGTGACACCATGTACTAATCGTATGATGTCCTAGTATAATATAGCAGATAGTTATAGATTACGCGACCTGTACATAAACAAATGCAGTGACATAGATACCTGTCTATGCAACTATTAAAGTTAGGTTACATTAAGATAAAGAAATGATTTTGAGTGTTAACATGTTTTGTAATCTGTACTCTTAAATACCGGCATGGCCATAGGGCGAGTTTATTAAAATGCGACGTCCCTTTATTGATAAGCAAATATGTATTCTGCATTGGAGAATTGTTCTATCTTGATGCAGTACAAAATTTAATATTTGACGATTGCGATTATTTGTTTATGCAACATTTATGTTTTATTCATTAATTCCCTCATTTGTTTAAAGTTACAACTTAATCCCTGTGACATTCTTGTTTTGTTTTTAAAGATTCAGCCATATTTGGACTAGATGCCGTTTATAGAATGAAAACAGAACTTTGACATTTGTTGACCTAGACATTTTTCCAATGACTTACTTTTTATAAACAGAGCTAAAGCTATGAAATGTGGACTTTTAGCACAGTTTCAGATGCAGGATATAAACTTTGACCTAGATTTATATTTTTACATAGTTGCATATTTTAAGTAAACAGAGCTTTAGCATATGCACACAATTTCAGATGTAGAATTGTAATTTGAGCAAGATTTTGATCCAGTAGCCTATATTTTTCAATTCAGGTGCAGATTTAAACCCCCATATCGGTTGACCTAAATTTGACCCAGCGACTAGTTTTATACTCATAGCTCCATGTATTAAGTTTCCACTTCAAGCACAGCTACAGATGTACATTTTAACTTAGATATCACTTGACCTAGATTTCGACATTATGTTTCATAATTATCAATATCATCAGTCGATTGTAACTTTTAGCCTTTATAATCAATTGAGCGGTCAAGGGATATTATTATAATAGCATTTTTGTTTTTAATGTGGCTCTACAAGATATCCACTTTTCAATGAAATTATAACACATATATTTTATAAGATAATAAGTTTATATTCAAATTATATTTATAACTTAAAGCTGGTTTCAGACATATGTTACCAGGTAACATCATATTAAGCTATGTTGGTCATATGAGGTAAAAAGAATATAAAATGAATTAGTCATTTCCTAACCGATGGTATTGCAGTCGTTTATTTTGACGTATTTTAAGAATTCTTTATATTAAGTACATTATGCATTCCTCTGTCCTATTTTTCCCCTGTAATTTTTATATTCCTTAAAAAAAGATATCATAGCGATAACACTTTTGAAATGAACGTGTGTTTAAATTGTAAGAGTGATGCCAGTATTATGCTAAACTTGCGTTGGTGTCTTCTTCGCATTCATTAATAATTTATTGTGCAATGAAAGGAACAATTAAATCCTTCTCAGTCGTCATCATAACTGCGCTTTATGTTATGGAATTATGACGCCTATATTCTTTGAAAATAACGCATTATATCTGAAAGTTGTTGAATGGCTTTTAAGATTAAGTTGTCTGACAGTTTTAGTTTAATGTCATAAATCTTATATATATCGTCGAGGCTAATTTTCTCTGTTCAATCTCTATTTCAATTGAATATTTTAGCAGAATATGAACCATCTTAAACTTTTTCTATATACAATGTAGATTAAAACAATTTCTGACAAATTTTAATAGTAACATTATGATTTTCAGATCTCTATTTACCATTTTTACGTGCTAATGTCTTTAAGATCTAGTCTGTGAGTTTTAACTACTTCGTTGTGTCTGCATTACACTCAAAGAATCTTCCCAGACCAATATCTCCAGTCACAACAACAGCTGGTGAGCTTACTTATGCGTATAAGGTAAATATTAGGTAAATAAATAACATCAATTTTCATGACAGTGTTTTATATATTGTTTCGTTGCTGATTATGTTTAATTATACTATTATTATTTTGCTTTTTTGTTTTGCTTTTTGTTTCTCTTTCCCGCGGGATAAGCGAGTCTTGTACTTAAAGAGTTTCGTATTTAGTCGGCAGCATGTTGCATAAGAGTTGCTACAATTTTTTCTAAAGTCTCTCATAAACCACAAAAATCGAGTCTGCGATCCTTTAGAGGACATTTGTACGAGTTTTATCAATAGAAATGAAGAAGTAAGTTTAAGTGCTAGAAGTAAGTTTAAGTGCTTCATTGAAATTAAATTTAAAAAACTCTATTTGATGGGTAAGTAACATCTGTAACATCTTGAAAAAAAATCATTTTGCAAATAAGCAAAGTTTGCAAGGCTATATATTTAAGATAATACTGTTTGTAAAGCGTTTATTTATCGTACCAATATTGAGAATTTCAGTAGAGTAATCAATGATTAGAAAACGTAAAGCAAAACAAAAAAACCATTATTGTCGTGACAGTCTTACATTAGACGCAATAGATGTTCCGATCGAAGCAGAATATATCTTAAGAGACACAAAGAAGTATTGATACGTTTTGTCGAGACGCCCTCATGTGTGCATAATATAATTGCACCTTTATATTATTACCGCTTCTTATATTTAAAGGTAGATTAAATATATGATTGAAGAAGAGATAGAATTTCTTCTGTTTATGTAAAGGTTACAAAATGTACTTTATTTGCTTGAATGGCGTACGTCTATCTAAATCAATGCTTTAAGATTTCTTCTGTTTATGTAAAGGTTACAAAATGTACTTTATTTTCTTGAATGGCGTACGTCTATCTAAATCAATGCTGTATTTAGCGAGATAAAGGTTATTTTGTGTCTAGCTATCTGGTGATTAGCTGTTATCAATATAAAAATGTTTTACATCTTTTTTCATTTTGTCTAAAACATAATTCAAGCAGCAATAAAAAAAGATACAAAAGTTCATGTTTGTGTGAGAAACATATCCACATTGATATATTGATATATAAAATTCCGATAAATGAAAATAAAGCATATTCCGATAAATGAAAATACAGGCTTATATTTCTTTTTAAAACGAAATTTCAATTTCCTTTGTTTCCTTACATTTGATTATCATTATTAAGCACTATTCTGAAAAGTAATAGATACCTTTGCTTGATATTTCTGATAAATATGAAACTTACATACAGAAAGAAATAAGTGACAATAAGCAAATCTCTGACTTTATATGACAGCTTCTATTGAGTTGATACCGTTTGCCAATTTGCCAGTTCGATTTACCTTTTAGATATCATCTAGTGGCATTGGTATTAATTGATAGTATGTATTTTTATACATTTGTATCACGTCGTGTTATTCAGCTTTTATTTTAAGAAGAATGTTTAAAATGTCCCCTTTCTTCTTATTTTATTGAAATAAAATTCATCAGTTCAATGATGTTCCTTCTCTTGCAAATTTTATGTTTTAATATTTTTTTCAAATCAAGATTTTGTATAAATAAACTTGTCTGTCAATCATCATATATATCTTTCAATAAAAGTGCGTCTTCAAGCTCTTGAAAAATATCACTAAAGATTCATAATTATAATTTAAATATTTTTTACTTGACTAAAACAAGCATATATCAATTTTGATAAAAAACAACAAAGATCACATTTGTTTGTGTTTATTACCCTCTTTCTCAAAATTAAGAATCTATTCCTTTTTCAATATGCAACTTTTTACTCATTTAAAAGTTTTCAATTTGAAAGGATAGTTGTTTTAAAATAATAAGACATTGACTGGTATAAACGTTTGTCACTTATTTGATGATTTGAAAAAAACAAAAACATTTGCCGCCAATAACATATACCATATGCCACGTTGACCATGTATTGAGGTTTATTACTGTTATGACGTAATCAAAACCAATACCTGACTATTTTGTTTAAAGAACTATGTGATTATTGGAAGAAATATCTCTTTATAAGCTGATAAGTTTGATGACACGTTCTATACTGAAATACTTTAAGACAAAACTTTTAATTTGCAGACTTTGTTTGACTGAGACTTTTTATAAGATGCTTTTGGCAACATTACACAAAGCAAGAATTGCATTTATCCTTTCCCAATTAATACTACCAAAATACCAAATAAATATAAAGAACTAGACATCTTATTGTTTGTTTGTTTGTTATCATGTTAATTATTTCATAAATTTAGCTTTTACAAATATTATATCAATGCTAAGATGTTGTTTTTCCCCCTTATTTATATGTTTTTGTTTGTTAGCGTTCGTCCTTGTATCAATAATTGTATAAACTAACTATAATACTTATTTGTAATTATCTTAAGATGCCTTGCTTCCATGAGGATTTTTCATCCACAGGCTGAAATCTTTTCTATTTCACAGTAGAATGACCGATCACAGAAAACACATTATAGTTGATTACAGCTTTTATTGATTTGCATGTGATGAACGTAATCTTGTATAAGCAGAGTCTTTGGACATTAACCATGGAAAACTACTTATATTTCGAAAACAACGTACATTTATTTGTATTACATACTTTAAACAGTGGTCAATCTTGAATATTTCATATTGAATATATAGTTTAGACCAAACCAATGAGCTGAAATAATTTTATTGAATTTATGTTATCATGAAACAATTATACAATAAGATTGGCAAAAAGCTGAGTTTAAGTTCAGTTCCAAAACACGTTTAATTCTGATTACAAAATCTTCTTTGGTTGAACATAATTCAATTTTGCACCAAATTAAAATCATATCATACATGTATTTTGCCGGAAATTGATGTGTCTGTCTGTAAGAGTTAAACGAATGACTGAAATAAAATCATCAATTTACATCATAGAAACTTTCCATTACGACAAATGTTTGACTGACATAAAAGGAAAGGAGTCTGGTTGTGAGAACAAATCTATAAACACATGTGATAATTTCCTCGAGTTAACTTGAAATATGAAAAATACCAAACCAATCATTTCAGTCAGTCAAAATTGTATGTTTTTCAAAAAATCTTAATTGTTAGTGGGGATTTAGACTACAATATGCTTTGCTAGTTTTCTAATTAATATTACAGAAAGAACCTACAACAGTGATCTGCTGAAGTCATTTGGCTTATAAAAACGGTATAAAATGTATAACACTAACAAACGTTTTCAACAAAAATCGATTGGTGCAGATATTTCATGTTCGCATCATTTCATTGATCGATTTATATTAGATGACTAAATGTATTGTAAATTGTTTTATTTTGGTATGTGGCAAAGTTTCAATTGTAGAAAATACGTATTAAATAAGTTTTGATACAATTGTGTACACCTTCAAAGTTATTTGTTATTTATAATTCTCGAACCTGTAAAATAACATCGTATATCTTAATATCAGTCGTTTTAAATACACGGGAAAACACTTGTCGAAAATAACTATTTGAAAAAGTTATGGTGAAAGTCTTCGAAAGCAGTAAAAACTGAAAACTGCAGACTCGGTTTGACTAAATTGGGTACTGTGTTCCTTCACGTTAATAAATTACGAAAGCTGTCGCTCAAAGCGATACTATTAGCATTTATATAGAAAATGATTGTCATTTCCTTCAAAGCAATAAGTTTTGTGCACTGGATTTTTAACAGGACATTACATTTCTATTTAGTCATAATTCAAAAAAAAACGGTTTGCATGAGAAATGCATGACACTGTAAAATCAGAATGCATAAACGATTTAACAAAAAACGAATCATTTAGCCGCTATTTATCGAGTTTTATTTCTTCCTAGATCACCTTTTCTTAATCTAATGGGGTTCCATTTTTCCTACTTAAATTCTGCATAATCCCCTTTACGATATGGTGTTTGTCTTTTGACGTCTTATCTGTAATATGTAGGATTCAGAAACTCTGATCCCCTTTCAAATTACATTTTTTTCCCGCCGATGGTTTCCCATTAAGGGCAAACGCATTATTTTATTAAGGGACCATAAACCGTCATTTATGGAATGGACGAAAGTGTCACATTTAAGGTTCCATGCTAACCGCCGAATGAACACATCTGCATATGTTTCTTAATTAACAATTGCACTTTTTTATGTTTCAATGTTAAATTCTGCTTAAGACGGTGATATTGGGCGTGGACGGTAACTTGCAATTACGACTACCGTCTATAACGGGCTCATAACCCTGCAACATTTTTCAATTTTTGCCGTTTTTGGGGCGTTCATTAGGGAACAACAAATTTCTTCTACATCTTGATAATGCACCAGCACATACGGCCGCTGAAACCAGACTTGAGTTGTCACTGATTGATCTTAAATGTGTGCCACATCTCGCCTATTCACCGGACCTAGTCCCAATAGAATGTGCAGTCCTCTCAGAGATAACATTGAGTTTTAATTTAAATCATTAAACAAAACTCAACTTCTACGCTGTTTTAAAGTAAATATTACAAGACTAAAACAAATAAATAACAAAAAACATTTTGTTTACATGTTTATGGTAGTTGTATTCGTAACATGCTAATTACAGGTGCGGGGGTCGCCGTTTCCAGTCGACTGCCGATCTACTGAACGCTACATAGCGTATTCTGTGTCAGTTACATAAGGCATGGTTTTTGGCTGTGTACAAGTGTTGTATTCATCGTCATATTCGATGTGTGAAGGCCAGGGAACATAATTTTGAAATGCAAGTAGCGGCCAGCCATGGACTGCCTAACTTTGAAGCACAAGTTGTACGTTATTATGACGTAACGTCGATAACTTTTTGGAGTTCACTGTCGCCGACATATGTTTATGTAAAATTAGATATTGTTGTAATATAAGAAGCTACTAACATGAATTTGTCTGTGTTTATTTGTAATATAAAATTCCTCTAAGCAGCAATATCTCAAATATCTTTTACTCAACAAAGAAAGACCACGAATTTTTGGATAATCCCTCGTACATTTCTTGTAGCAGGCCCTATGCAACATTTTCTTATTACAAAAAGAAAAAAAACTTCCGCTATTCCCTCAAAATGGCAATTTGAAAAGTTATTTATCACAGATTATGTGGAGGCAATTATTTAAATGAATTGTTCATAAACATAATATAAAGTGCGTGTCTGAAAACAACACTATTTAGCTAAATAAGAAAGAAGATATTTTTGAGCTTAACAGACAAACCGTAACATAGGGAAATAAATATTCTGTTCTATTTAAGGGTAAAATGACAAACAGAAATAATTCATTGCAAATAAAACTACATTATTATCAGTTTTATTGGATAATGACGTCATTGTTACCGTTTTAGGATATCTATAGACAAAAAAAAAACAAAAATAAATTACTTTGAATAAGCTGGGGGAAGAGTTGAACAGTTGCTGGATAAGAAATAATTAATGAACACGAATCTAAAATGTACTTTAGATAGATATGTGAGCAATCGATTTCTTTTTGAAAATGTCTGCACTTCTTCAGAAATTGTAAATACTTTAAAAAATTTAACTTTTCAAAAGTCAAATTTCAATTACATTTTTGGAATATCATCCTTTGCATTTTTAAGAAAATAAAATACATTAAGATGATTGCTCAAAGGTTTTAAGAACAACATCCCTTGCAACAACATTGACACCATTGTCACCATGTAAGGAACAGTCCATAAAAACGTATTTTTTAGTATATTAACAAATTTCACACCCATAAAACGGAGGATATGTATGGCGTCAGTAGACGTTAATCCTTAATGTAAGTAAAATTTCGATATTTACTAGTTCATTCAGCATTTCGGAATGTCTTTGATTTACATACAATGACCCTTTCTCAAAAAGCATGTTTGCATTTATATATTTAAATACCAAACCTACAACAAAGCCTTTTATAAAATAAAAAAATGAAATTCTATGAGGATTTAAATGTGTCGATTTAACAATAGGAACAAGGTAAAAAATGGTGTCTGATTATATTTTCATATAAAATAAAATAGCACTGTTAATTAGTGACAACTCATGTTATACTCAGTTACAAATGTATGACAAAGCTGCTGTATTCTGTCTACTGAAAATATATTGGTGTACATGTGTTGTAAAATGCATATAATATTCCAATAAACCAAAAATAGTATTTTAATAAATACAATTTAATTTCAATGGATGTAGTTAAATACGATACATATACGTATTTGAAGTTTAACGAAACGTTAGTTTCGTTCTTGTACAAGCACTTTGTACGGTTTGGGCGTATAAACAAGTCCAGGAATGGGAGTTATATGCAGCTGTTCATCTGCTGGTTTTATAAATTTACATTTCTGCATCACATTGGAAAACGAAATAAATAGATTCATCTGCGCGAGAATTTCTCCAACACAGCGGCGTCTACCGCGACCAAAGGCGAAAATATGATTGCATTTTTCTTTATCAAGGCTTTTTCTATCGGATATAAATCGTTCCGGACGAAAGATTTCCGGATCTCCCCAGAATGAAATTTCGTGATGAACAGAATAGAGGTTGAAAATTACCACTGTGTCCTTATCCACATCGAAACCTTGTATCTTAGCATTCTTCATTGCGTAATGTGGAATTGAAAAAGGAACTTGGCTAACAAATCGCATGACTTCTAGAAGGACAGCATTTGTGAAGACCAGTTCGGGTTTGTCCTTCAGCATTACACTCCTGTTGGTTCCAACTATATCTTTGATCTCTGTAAAAACTTTTTCTTGAACGTCGGGGAATTTCGCCATGTAGAGAAACAGCCACAACAACGTTTTGTGCGTTGTATCAACGCTAAAATAAAAACAGGAAATTATAATGTTTAACGCTTTCTACATCACTATCTTCTCGTAACATCTTCTAAAAAAAGTATATAAATAAAATTATTCTAATTTTTACATAATAATACATAATTTGTAATTTATTTCAATTCGTCATTCGTCATTAACTTAATAAACAGAGATTAAAAACTTTTAAAGCTATTGGGTGATATGCAAAATATCTTCAGATATCCTTATTATAGTGGCTGTTAATTTCAACTTAGATTTATTCTATTACAAAAATCTCTCTTTTATGATTAAGTAAAACCGATGCTGGCCATGTTCCATGGCAACTGTTCAGTTAAACTGGCACTGAAAAGCATTTATTCCTAAAACACTAAAGCATAAATACTGGACAACTTTGTTTTTGCAGGTTTGTAAAATATATTAATATGGAAAAAGGTCAACAAGGAAGGGCAGTATTCCTAAAACACAAGCCAGCAGCACCTGGCCACCGGCATGGAGTCGAGCAGGACCCCAAACAAAAACAGGAGCGGGTATATGGGCAAAACACAGACGGGTAGTTATTATAAATAATTCAAATCAATAGGAAATAATAGTAACCGACACGGATAACAAGGAAAATAAATTGATACAAACCCAGCGTCTTGTAAATCTGCAAGTGTAAGATTCAGTCTAGCTCTTGTTAACACATATCTATCTTTATTTTCTTCATCATCAGCGTCACTGGCAATAATTGCATCCGCTACATCTCTAATGTTTCCTGGAACAAATGTGTCATAATGTTGGTGTACTTGCTCTGTTACAAGATCGTCTGATCGTGCGGTATTCTTCCGAATCGCTTCAACCTTCCATGGCATGATATACTGTAGCCATGGTAACACGTCCAATGAACTCCCATTTCCAGACAACTCATTAAATTCTTCAAGAAATTCTATTATTGTTTTCACGTGCCTTTCAACTTCAACAGTTTTACCTCGTCCGTAAAGAAACTGGTAAATTATCTTAGTAACTAATGTTTGAACATCCAGTTCTATTAAACCGGCATTTCTATTGTATTTTTTTACCAAAATATCTACAAATACGTTAGTCTCACTTGTAACTAATTCTTCAATTACTTCGGATCGCTTGGATGTAAACATACGTAAAGCTTTAGAGGCCAACTTTCTTTGTTTAAGATAAACTGGTGAAAAATTACCAAAAGCGAGTCTATCTTCTTTGGTACGTTCGCTCAAGATTTCCATGGTCAGAAAATTTGGTCTTCCGCTGAATGCGTCGTCAGGATGCTCGGCAGCCGCCTTCACTGCATTATAACCATTGACAACAACAGTATTCCAGCTTCCAAGTCTGATAGAAAACACGTCACCAAAAGAATTCCACCATTTTAGGAAAGTTTTCGGTGGGTATTTTCCAAACAATGGAAGGTGTCCAACAATTGGAAACCCAGCTGGCCCTTTTGGATACTTCTTTTCTTTATTTTGAAGAAGCCATTGTAAGAATAAAACTGTCATGAAAACAGTTAAAGCTAATCCCAAAACAAAAGTTAAGTCCGACATAGTAATTACAAGTGGTCAGTGAAATTATTATGTAATAGAGTGACACTATGTACTAATCGTATAATGTCCCACTGTGCAACTGTGAGTTTAATATAGCTATTAGTTATAGATAACGCGACCTGTATGTTTAGTTATTAATAACGCGACCTGCATGTATTAATTCAGGACATGTTATGCACATAAACAAATGCAGTGACATAGATACCTGTCTATGCAACTATTAAAGTTAGGTTACATTAAGATAAAGAAATGATATATTGAGTGTTAACATGTTTTGTAATCTGTACTCTTAAATACCGGCATGGCCACAGGGCGAGTTTATTAAAATGCGACGTCTCTTTATTGACAAGCAAATATGTATTCTGCATTGGAGAATTGTTCTATCTTGATGCAGTACAAAATTTAATAGTTGACGATTGCGATTATTTGTTAATGCAACATTTATGTTTTATTCATTAATTCCCTCAATTGTTTAAGTTACAACTTAATCCCTGTGACATTCTTGTTTTGTTTTTAAAGATTCAGCCATATTTGGACTAGATGCCGTTTACAGAATGCAAACAGAACTTTGACATTTGTTGACCTAGACATTTTTCCAATGACTTACTTTTTATATACAGAGCTAAAGCCATGAAATGTGGACTTTTAGCACAGTTTCAGATGCAGAATAGAAACTTTGACCTAGATTTATATTTTTACATAGTTGCCTATTTTAAGTTAACAGAGCTTTAGCATATGCACACAATTTCAGATGTAGAATTGTAATTTGAGCAAGATTTTGATCCAGTAGCCTATATTTTTCAATTCAGGTGCAGATTTAAACCCCCATATCAGTTGACCTAAATTTACCCAGCGACTAATTTTTTATACTCATAGCTCCATTTATTAAGTGTCCACTTCAAGCACAGCTACAGATGTACATTTTAACTTAGAATTCATTTGACCTAGATTTCCACATTATGTGTCATAATTATCAATATCATCAGTCGATTGTAACTTTTAGCCTTTATAATCAATTTAGCGGTCTAGGGATATTATTATAATAGCATTTTTGTTTTTAATGTGGCTCTACGAGAAATCCACTTTTCAATGAAATTATAACACATATATTTTATAAGATAATAAGTTTATACTCAAATTATATTTATAACTTAAAGCTGGTTTCAGACATATGTTACCAGGTAACATCATATTATGCTATGTTGGTCATATGTGGTAAAAGGAATATAAAATAAATCAGTCATTTCCTAACCAATGATATTGCAGTCGTTTATTTTGACGTATTTTAAGAATTCTCTATATTAAGTACATCATGCATTCCTCTGTGCTAATTTTTCCTTGTAAACTTTATATTCACTTTTGAAATGAACGTGTGTTTAAATTGTTAGAGTGATGCCAGTATTATGCTAAACTTGCGTTGGTGTCTTCTACGCATTCATGAATAATTTATTGTGCCATAAAAGGAACAATTAAATCCTTCCCAGTCGTCATCATAACTGCGCTTTATGTTATTGAATTATGACGCCTATAATCTTTGAAAATAACGCGTTATATCAGAAAGTTGTTGAATGGCTTTTAAGATTAAATTGTCTAACAGTTGTAAGTTTAAAGTCATAAATCTTATTTATATCGTTAAGGCTATTTTTCTCTGTTTTATCTCTATTTCAATGGAATATTTTAGCAGAATATAAATCATCTTACACTTCTTACTATAAACAATGTACAGTAGAACTTCGGTAAGTCGAAGTTGAAGGGGCTTGCGTAAAAACTTTGACACATCAGGACTTCATGTTGAATTCTGCTTAAGCCGGTGCTAGGGGGCGTGGACGGTAGTTTGCACTTTCCAGTACCTCCAATGAACAGGCTCAATCCAACCGAGCCTGCAACATTTTCAATTTTGCCGTGTTGGGCTTTCTTTAGGGATTCTTATTTCTCTCTATTTTTTAGACTGATGAATCGGTCTCAATTTCATGACAAAATTTTGACCCGTGACAAGTCCTAATTATAAGATTCATAAAGTAACCTATTTCATGTTTTTCTTTCATTTATCATATATTTTACATTTTACAATTATATATGTCACATGTTAAATAACTTTTCACGGCTGATTAATTGGACTACCCGTTGACGTATACAATGAATTTACAAAAGGGCAATAACTAAACCAGCCTTAATAGTGAATATTTCGCGTATGATTAGCTCGCGACACCGGGTCACGGAAGTTCTCAAATGAAAGTAGTTCTTAATGTTTACATGTACTTCAAATACCACTACGGCAATTAAAATAGTTACGATTAAAGCATTTTATCACACATTTAAACCGATACAAAGGCTGTTTGAACATTCGGTTGTGTAATTAAGACCTGTCACACAGGTTGATCGGAAATCGTCTTCGCCATCAGATAAGGTGTGAAAAATGTCTCTAGATCGAAGGTGTCAAAATAATCGAAGGACTTCGACTTCTTTAAGGTAAATTGTTCTAGATTTATTCTATACGGACAACGAAAAAAATCGACACATCGAACAATTCGACACGTAAAATATCGACTCATAAAGAGGTTTTTATAAGGAATATATAGGGGGGAAATATTGGGACTTTCATTTTGCTTCGACACATCGAGAGAATCGACTAATCGAAGTTCGACTCATAGAAGTTCTTGTATATTAAAGCATTTTCTGACAATGTTAAAAGTAACATTATGATTTCCAGATCTCTATTTACCATTTTTTGCGTGCTAAGGTATGCGAGTTTTAACTACTGTTTGCATTACTCTCGAGGAATCTTCACTGTCTAATGATAAACGACAATGATGTACAAAGTAAATTGCTGAACTAAATAAATCTCATCTATTTAGTTTAAAATTGTCATGCAAGAACTTCCAGGTAAAACGCGCTAATTTCAAAGAATAAAAGGTGTTATAGCTGTGTTATAAAATGCAGCTATGATGACGCTGAAGTACGGAATTCCCGTACTGAAGTGTGTTTTAATCGTTTCCTTTTTTTAGCGCAATGAATTATTCATTGACGCATTTTTTTACAACACCGACGCAATTTAAGGTTGGTTTACAATTTTAACGTACTTTTTTCATCAGAATAATAAGGGTTTGCATTAAATAATGTATTTGTACTTTTTATCTCCGTAGTTTTTTCCATGGTTTGAATGTGATAGAAATTTCACATAGAAATAAAAGATGATAAATTTTCTCTATATTTTAAAAATGCTTTCTTTTTCTGCCTGGAATTTATAAATTGCAGGTTACATCTAATCGTAAACGAAACACCATAGCTAAAAATCAGACTTTGCGTTACTTGGATTACAAAAAAAATATCCACGCCACTTTTGGAATACCGACCTATAAATACATATTGGTAAAGCTTCAAATATTCAATATTTTTTGTTAAAATGACATTATTTGATATGTATTTGTTTATCTGCATCTTTTAATTATGTTTGTTTATGTTACTTATTTGGATTGACGTAATATGTAGTCTATGTTGGTACGACGTAAAACCCAATTTTGTCAAACCGAGTCTGCAGTTTTCAGTTTTTAATGCTTTCAAAGACTTTCACCATAACATACTTTTTACCAGATTTACTGTTATTTTTCAATTGGAAAAAGACAAAAAGTTATTTTCAATAAGTGTTTTCCCATGTATTTAAAACGACTGATATTAGAAAAACGATGACATTTTACAGGTTCGTGAATTACAAATAACAAATAATTTTGAAGGTGTACACAGTTGTTCTGACAAGGAGAAATAAAAAAAAAACAGTTGTATCAAAACTTATTTAATACGCTTTCTACAATTTCAATTGAAACTTTGCCACATACCAAAACAAAACAATTTGCAATACATTTAGTCATCTTTAATAAAACTATCAATGAAATGATGCGAAAAGGCAATATCTGCACGAATCGACATTGTTGACAAAGTCTGTTAGTGTTGTACATTTTATACCGCTTTTATAAGCCAAATGACGTCAGCAGATCACTGATTTCGGTTCCTTCTGTAAGTAATATTAATGAGGAAACTAGCTATATCCTCACTAGCAATTAAGTATTTTTGAATAACATACAAATTTGACTTATTGAAATTATTGGTTTGGTATTTTTCATATTTAAAGCGAACTCGAGGAAATTATCACATTTGTTAACTGATTGTTCTCACACACAACCAGACTATTTTCTTTTATGTCAGTCAAACAGTTGTCGTAATGGAAAGTTTCTATGATGTAAATTGATGATTATATTTCAGTTATTCGTTTAACCCTTATATACAGACACATCAACTTCGTTATCCCTCCGGCAAAATATGCTATGATTTTAATTTGGTGCAAAATTGAATTATAGTCAACAAAAGAAGATTTTGTAATCAGAATTTAACGTGTTTTGGAACTGAAATAAAGCTCAGTTGTTTGCCTATGTTTTTGTATAATTGTTTCATGATTACATTAATTCAATAAAATTATTTCAGCTCATTGGTTTGGTCTAAACTATATATTCAATATGAAATATTCAAGATTGACCACTGTTTTAAGTATGTAATACAAATGTACATTGTATTCGAGATATAAGTAGTTTTGCATCGTTAATGTCCAAAGACACTGCTTATACAAGATTACGTTCATCACATGCAAATCAATAAAAGCTGTAATTAACTATAATGTGTTCTTCTGTGATCGGTCATTCTACTGTGAAATAGAAAAGATTTCAGCTTGTAGATAAAAACTCCGCATGGAAGCAAGGTATCTTATGATTATTACGAATAAGTAATTCGTAATTAGTATACAATTACTGATACAAGGATGAACGCTGACAAACAAAAGCATATAAATTAGGGGAGAAAACAACATCTTAGCATTGAGTAAATATTTATAAAAGCTAAAATTATGAAATAATTAGCATGATAACAAACAAACAATAATTTAAAGGGATGTCTTGTTGTTGATATATTTGGTATTTTGGTTGCATTAATTGAAATGGGCAAGTTAAATGATATACTTGCTTTGTGTAATATTGCCAAGACCATCTT